TGACAGTTATTACTAATCTATATGAAGTCAATTGATTCATTTGAAGTCATTGAAATATTGAACAAAATGAAAGTGCCCATTTTCGAAAAATTCGGAAGAATCACTTTTTTTTAATTATTTTATAACCGAGAATGTCATTAGAATTAGGCGGATGAATTTAATTTTGTACATCATTTAATATCAATATGTTAATAAATACTGTATTATCAAAAGGGGTTTTGTGGAGATTTTAGTAATTTTATAGAGTTAAGATCATGAGTCAATTGAAGCTAGATCACCATGGAAAACCTGGAAGCACTGAACGGCCGTTTCGTCCTATTGTGGGACTCCTCAGCAGTGAGCATCCACGATCCCTCTGTATTACATAAAAATTGTTTGCAATCATAATAAAAGATAATTGCACAATAACGCATATTGATTGAAGTTAGGCATGTACTTCAGTAGATCCCAGTACAGTGGTATCAAAGTCAACAGTTTGCTGAATGTTCTGTGCTCAGACCCCCAGGGAATCGTGGATATACATTTCTGGAGAGGGGGGTCCCATAAAGAATGAAATAAACGTTCAGCAATTCCTTATTTTCACTAGTTATCTAATTTAGCTTGATTAGTGATTATATTAATATTCAACAACCTCTACGAACAACCATATCGATAATAATTGTGAATTCACTATTTATTTAGAATGATCAGTTCCAGAGTCCTAATGGGAAGGCATAACTAATAGATGGTGCATAAGATTTGTAGCTCAGGTGGGTGATTTTGATGTAGGTTTGTTCTCTGACCAAATCATCCAGCTCAGAGAACAAACCAACATAACTAATAGAGTTTAACAGTCTAATATGTAAAACAATTAAGCAGTATCACGAATTGAATGTAATCTATTTATAAAAACCGTCCAGACAAAGAGACATTTCTTAGAAATTAGCTCTTTGTCATGTCTTTATACTGAGAGATATATATCTAATTTCCATTGAATTCATTTTACAAATAAACATTGATATTCAAAAAAATGTTGCCTTATTTTAGATTTAAACAATTTTCCTCCTTTTTTCACTCTTATGTAACTAGTAGTAACAACTGATGGACTACATGTCAGGAATAAATAAAATACATAATTTAGTAATAAGGGATTATTTTCAATTATGTTGGTTAATTTTGTTACTTTTGTAGGCTTTTATACATATAGTAGATTATTGATTAACTGCCAGGTCTAGTCCTTCAAATTTATTGATTGACTAGTATATTTAAGAAGATTCAATTAGAAACGGTTTAAACTATGCCACTGTTAATACTTTTAATTGAAAGTTGATCAGTCTTAGTTGCCTTGATATAGGTATTATGACAAAAGTTAGTACATAATAGATATAATATCACTAACAGTGGAATGAAATCAAATTAAATCACATAACCTTTGTAAAAGTGAGTGTCTATCTGCATTAAGTAGTTAAGTAGATAAAGAACGGTACTGAATTCGAATATCAGAGTGAAGATTAACTCTGGGATGTGTCAGCTAAATCCAGCTGATGATTTTCAATTAGAGCGAAACTCCCATCCTAGATTCTACTACTAGTCACATTCTATCTATTCTATATCAATATGTACAATGTTTCATTTAATATTATGGATATAATTTGACTAGTGGGTGGTGGATAAATCAGTCTGCTTCTATAGTCTTATTTGGTTTCTAACGTTAACAGAGTAGTCTCGTAACGTTGTAACAATCAGCTGGTTGCGATTACTCCAAAGTCATAATAAACGGTCATATCAGAAATAGTAACGAAATTTACCTGAAGTCACTACATCAATGAAAGTTTTGGACAATTGAGCGTGAACCTACGTTGTCAGTCTCATATAAACGCGTTAAAATGAAGTTAGAATCATGAACCGTGATAGAGTCATGATATTGAGAAATTTTGGACATTGCGAATGTCATTCTTAAAAACAGTAAGGAAATATAAATTTAGAAGAATTCAAGAGCTTAATATTCAAGGGGAGATATAAAGTGAATGCGCTTAAGCCATTATGATCAATTCCAAATCAAGTAAACTAATGTCTCTAATTATTGATTATAGTAAAACTGTGGACTACAACCATGAAGTATGTATATATATAACAGGACTACGTGAAATAATGTAACGCCAAAGTAACAGCTATAGTCGAGGAACTTTTAATTAATGAATTATTTTGAAGATATACAATGGGTGACAATGTAAGTTTAGGTCATTGATTTCCATTTTAACAGTTGGAAAGTTTTATTCCCTCTACATGTGACCTGAAGTTTACTTGGTTGAATTTCTAATAAAGTTATACTCTCATGAAGAATCTCAAACTACCATGAATCATCGACCTAGTTCATTTTGAGCTTTCAATCTGTTTTTTGGCTGATATTCAAACTGTTATGTGAACCTTCTTGTCAGTGAATAATTTACCTTATGGATTGTATCAAAATTATATTTTATCAAATAAAAAATAATTTTGATAACACATATTATGTCTAATCCGTTCGCATGTAACTTTTGAATTTCGATTAAGTCTATTGTAAAACATGTCCTTAGTAATATGAATGACATATTGAGAATATGTACCCTGGGATTTATTTTGTATATATATGATGTACACTTTGGAAAAGTAAATCAATTTTTAAATGTTTCATTCAAATTAAACGACGATTGGAAACTCGAAAAGATCAGATGGATACATTTTATGGACAGTTATAACTAGACTAAAATTTTTCAGCCCATTTTAACTCATAGTAGATAGTGAATTCTAACTGTAGTAGTGTGAGTAGTAATAATCTTGCTGATTAGTCCTTTTTAGCAAGGAATCTATAGGAAAGGTTTCGTGAAGATTACCTTCAACTACTTAATACAATCAAATGTTGAAAAAACTCATTATTTTTTTGATAGTTAAGATCATGAGTCAATTGAAGCTAGACCACCATGGAAAACTTGGAAGCACTGGACAGCCGTTTCGTCCTATTGTGGGACTCCTCAGCAGTGCGCATCCACGAACCCACTCTCGCGAGATTCGAACCCAGGACCTACCAGTCTCGAGCCAAAGCCCTTAACCGATAGACCAATTAGCTGGCATCCAACGGTGTTAATGTTTAACCTCAACCAATCCACGAAATTGCGCAACCAACTTCCAATGTACTGAGGTAGATACCTGTCTCTACCTGACATGGATAAGCTCCACTGGCTACGACTTCTCACTAGAACTCCAGGAATTACCTCAGGGAGCCAGTCACTAGTGAGCATATGATCTACCTCAGTACATTGGAAGTTGGTTGCGGAATTTCGTGGATTGGTTGAAGTTAGATATTAACACCGTTGGATGCCAGCTCAGTGGTCTATCGGTTAAGGGCTCTGGCTCGAGACTGGTAGGTCTTGGGTTCGAATCTCTCGAGAGTAGGTTCGTGGATGCGCACTGCTGAGGAGTACCATAATAGGACCAAACGGACGTCCAGTGCTTCCAGGTTTTCCACGGTGGTCTAGCTTCAATTGACTAACGCTTTCAACTATTCAAATACAATTAAAACAAAGATACTACTCAGATATCGAGAAGTTTAGTGAGGCTATAATTTATGAACGACCTTTGAGTAACGCTGAAGTGACCTTAAGAAAACTCACCTACTTACTACGGTTAAATGAATAATTAGGATCTACAGTTAGAATTTATAGTCACGAATTAAATAAATGGTTTTCGTCATAAACTGACATCAGTTATAATGGCGAATTATTATTCAATTATATGCATGAATGAATTTCATGCCACAATCCAAGATTGCCTATCATGAATCACATTTGTTCGTCTGTAAATTATAGTCTGACCAGAAATTTGATGAAACCGATAAAAAGGATCGATTTTTACATAAAACTGATTGCATATAATTTATTATTGATGATAAAATTTCTTTTAAAAAAATGGTTGCTTTACATAAATTTTTAACTAATCCATCTGTTCTTTTTGATAGTTTATTGAGTAAGATTTTTTTTGGTGTTCAAGGTATAGAGTTCTCACGAAATAAAATTGTCCTAAGAAATATTAAAGATTAAGATCGTGAACCAATCTATGTTAGATTAACATTGAAAATCCGGAAGCATTGGACGATCTTTTCGTCCTAGTGTTGGACTCTTCAACGGTGAGCATCCACGTTCCCGCACTCGAACGCATGACTTTCGGTATCGCGAGCGCATGCTAAATCTCTAGATCACTGGTCCGGACCCAACAATTTTATTGCTTAAGTTCAACTAATCCATCTTCAATTGTCTTTATTAGGTAACCCGACATGGATTAGCTCCACTGGTCCGGTGTTTTCAGGTTTGCAGGGGTAGTCTAGTATTGATCGATTCATGATTTTAATCAAAACTCAAAAAACCTTGTACTAGTAAATATTAAAGACCTAACAAAGTGGTGTTTCGCCACGGTTTCACGAGTCATTATTAATGTCCATTAAGGACCTTTAAGAAGTTAGAAGCCCAAACATTAAAACCTAACAGTAAGAATCCATTACATACGGATGTTAATCACGTGTACGACAATATGTGACCGTTGCCTAGAAATCTTAAACCAGTCATTCAGTTAACGATTATCCACTACTCTGTTATCATCAGTTGTGCTATAAAGCAATAGAGATAATTCTATAAAAATAAAAGTTTATAGTTTCCCATTTCTGATAATATATTTGCAAACTGAGTGAATAAATCCATTATTTATTCGTCAAGATTACAGACGAATCTCAGTTAAATAACCACCGAAAATTGAAAAGCACTGAACATCTGTTCTCCTTTAGTATGATACAACGCACCAATCCATGTTCACAATCTTGACACCGAGGATTAAACCTTCGACATTCAGGTCTAACAAGAATTTACTTCATCCTACTCTGGAGTTTTAAACAAAATACGTGAAAACGTTCAATTGAACATATTTAAATACCTCACACTAGTTACAAGTTTAGGAAATTTAAGATGATAATTGTAAATAAGATAAATCCTCACCTTGTTTCTTATAACGTGGATTCGCCAAATCAATGGGTATACTATCTCTAAACCATGTGATTTCAGGTATTGGATCACCAGTTGCACGACATTCCAATTCAACTTCAGAATTTTTTCTCGCCACAATAACAGAAAATGAATTGAGAAATCGTGGATAACCAGATGGAGCGTCTAAAAAGAAAAAAATTACAATTTAGAAAAGTGAAAATGTAGTTTTATTTCTGTAATGTATACTCAAGCTTAATTAATAGTTGTCAACTTGTGGACAAAGTTTATTCAGTGACATCTGTAAAGATTGTTATAATATCACTGGCAGTCACGATGAATGATTATCTTCCTTTGTTCTATGGAAACATCAAATATACATGATTTGCTATGCTTTCTGACAATTAATTCATTGCCTGGATGATCGCTGATAAAATAAATCAATGACCATTGTATCATAATAAGATTTTAGCAATGATAGATTAGGCCCCATTAATATTTTCGGAATCACAAACACATTTTGAACAAGGATACTAACTGGAGAGTAGGATGTGATTGATATTTTAAGACCTCAATCAGTCCAGTTACTTGAAACATAATGTATTATTATTTAGATACTACTGAATTTTCAGAGGACGGTTCAAGTTTACTAGTTGAATACGGTCTTTGGTAGTGATATTTCAAATCGATATTGATGAGCTTTGATGATGTACGGTTAGTTACTAATTTGTTCATGATGAGATTAATTCGGATTACTGGTATTTAATGAGTTGAGCTATTTATTAATTCATGTAACGGTGGCCTGCTTGAATCCCTGGGCTACCTGTTTCTGCCATCTAAATATTTCAACAAGTTATCTGGGTTTTTTAAAAATTGGTTTTAACCTATCATTATGTCGCTTGATCGCATAACCTATACAGGCGCGTTTATGAAAAGCTTACGTCCTTTCGCTGCAAAAATTACAAACAAGTACAATAAGAGACATTGTGGTGTTTGGCAATATGCTTTAGAGAGAATAAACATTAATCAAATGTCGCTTAACTCTAACTGTCGATCTCTAATTAACAAGGTGGACTATCTACGATTTCTGCTAAGTCAAAACATGTATCGTAATTGTGGTGTCATCACAATTCAAGAATCTTGGTTGACTGACTTACAGGATGATTGCCTAGTATCATTACGTGATTTTAATATCTATCGTCAGGATCGATCAAACAATAAAAAGACTTGTGGTGGCGGAGTAGCTACTGGTTTAATGTTTGTTTTTGTTTTGTTTTTTTTTTGGTAAAAAAAAAACTTGTTGAAATAACTCGTGCTGAGAATTCTATATTGTACCAGATTATAATATTGAATAAAGCCATTAATTATTATTATTATTAATATTGGAATCGGTTGAAGAATGATCGTTTAGCGATAGAGTAGTTGTCTTGTACTAAGTTTTGATGTATGTATATGAAACCTACCTCTCTCTCACACTTTGTTTCTTCTCTAGTTCTCTTTAGTTATGCATGGTTGTGTGTTCATGGTTTCATTGGAATAAGCAGATAATTTTTCGGCTAATTTGTAGGACCACATAGAACCTTATTAATTAGAGTGAAATAGTTTGGGTTCACTTATTCATCAATAACATGGATACATCATGAATAGTAGGTGGAAAAAGACTGTCACCCATAACATTTTGTTTAAAAGTTGAATGTTTAAAACAGTAAGCTACCGGTCTACACATCCACAATTAAGTAATACTGTGGAAAAACCTACGAATGTACCACCATTTTAAAAAGTTTTTTCTTATAATTTTTTGAAATTTTCTTAGTATTGTTTGTTTGAATCTTCCCATTGATGTTTAGGACTGCAACTGGTCAGTCTCTAATTGGACTCACTGGCCGAGTGGATGCCATTTGAAGCGAAAGGTACTGGGTTCGAGTCCCAGTGTAAACATCAACTCTGAGATGCAGGTACATCCAGCTGACGAGTCCCAAATAGAACGAAACGCGCGTCAAACTGGATTCCACTATTAGCCACTATCCATCTTTGCTTATAATTTTTTGAAATTTTGTCGTGTTGAAACATTCCATTAAGTTTTACTTAAACTATAATATAATTGATTTTCCATTTAATGAATAAAAGAAAGTAAAAGCTTTTTTTCAAAAGGAAAAAACCGCCAAGTAAATCAAAGCAGGTTTTTTTTAATTTTACATTTAAAACAAACATTCAAAATTCAATAAATACAATAAGGGTAATGTTAAGAATTGAGAGAAACCAATTGAGAAATTCAATTAAATTTTATTTAATAAAAGGAAACAAGCAGTTCAATTCACCCTACACACTCCTTCATTCACTCAATCTCACTCTCACTCTTACTCTCCTTCTTTTATAAATCAATCACTCTCTTGAAATAAAAAGGAAAAAAAACCGCAAAACTTTAGGAAAACAAAAAAGGGATTTTCATGAAAGTATTAAGCATAGAAATAATTGGTTTAAATCAAGTTATAAGTTGTTTTATGAATAGACTCATGTTTATATTTCTGTATACCCGAAAATTTAATTTTAAATAAGTCACGTTTCAAAATTTGAAATTTGAAGAGATGAAAATTCGCGCTTTTTTCAGTTTTTATAATTTTGAAAATTTAAACAACATATTTTATTAATCTGATTATTAATAATAATTATACTAGTTATAACAAATAAAATGAGATTGAAAACAAGTTCATGTATATTAAAGTATCTGTGGCAAAACTATAAGTTGTGGATGAGCCAATCAGAAGCGCTTGAGGGACTTCAATGTTACGAAGCGAATTTCAGTACCTGATGCTCATGTACAATCGGTTTACAGATGATTTTAAAGAAGACTTGACAATTAAGCGGCTACAATAAATAGGACTACTGTGAAGTTCCTTTATTTGTAATTGCAGTAATCAAATGACTTGCAGACCTAGTGCAAACTACCGTGATGTTATCCTTCGATGTAACATATGTTGAAGGAAGATGTTTGCTAGAATAGGAACTTTCTTCGTTCCAGATTGATACCTTCTTACTTACTTACGCCTGTTACTCCCCATGGAGCATAGGCTGCCGGCCTGTTTTTTCCAACCCACTCTGTCCTGGGTCTTCTTTTCTAGTTCTATCAAGTTCTTGTTCATTCTCCTCATGTCTGTCTCCATTTCTCGGAGTAATATGTTCTTTCATCTCCTTCTTCTCCTTCGACTTTCAGGATTCCATGTGAGGGCTTGTCTTGTGAAGCGATTAGGTGATTTCCTCAAAGTGTGCCCTATCCACTTGCAGCGCTTCTTCCTGATTTCTTCCTCCGCTGGAATCCGGTTTGTTATCTCCCACAGTAACTTGTTGTTGATAGAGTCTGGCCATTGGATCGGAAGTATCTTGCGTAGACAATTGTTAATAAACACTTGTATCTTCTGGATGATGATTTTCTTAGTTCTCCACGTCTCCGCCCCAGATTGATAATAATAATTACCGCGATCTGTAACATCTGTAACATCTCTGGCTGTAAAGCTGGATAACATGGGATCGAATCCTCCAAAGTGCATCAATTCTCTGAAAATTACATGTTCATCTTGCTGATGAGTGTCGAATAGCACGAAACCTAGGTCCACAGTTTCCTGTTATCCTCCTCCAAATACCACGTTTTATCTGAACAAATTTCATGCGATGTCAAGTCAACTAGACTAGTGATCACACTCCAACTTGATCGACAGAATCTTATCAGCATTAAGAAGTAGTTGACACACACGATATTAGTCACTACACAATGATCAATCAGTTATAGAAGTCATTTTACTTCAAATAACTTCAATAACTTAAGTTGATTTATTCTGTAGGCAAATAGTTTTTAATAAGTCCCTAAATTTTACTGCAAAGTACTAGATTACTCAACTCACGTTTCGAACTATTTCGTGACTCATCAATAATACAAACACAGTTTTTTCACTGCATTTACGAGCTACTCACCATTAACTTAGCAAATAAACACATATCTAGGATTCGCTTGTAACATATTATCATTTGCTGGTTAACATTATCGACTAAACTACAGACTCACTTGTCAACAGCTCAAATGGTCAATATACATCTAACAATAAAAATTCATAAAATCTTTTACGTACTATCACATCTATCACTTTATCAATTGGTCATTAACAGCATAAAGCATGGAATATATGTGCACCGGTATAATTGGCTTCATTATATCAACATGGTCAGATGAAATCATTAAGACAAGTACTAATGTGATAGAAACGATGTAGTTCATAAACAAGGAATGAGTTTGGTCAATAAAAAACAGTACGGTAATTTTAAAAATTCAATACCTAATTAAAAACAAAGAGTGAATGCATCTATACTATTATGAACGATTCTGGTTTATGTCATCCAACGTTTTCAACCATTGACAGTGATAATCACATATACTCTAATCACATAGTCTGCATCTACCTACATAGTTCAGTTCAATTCACAGTGAATTCATGAATAGATGATATATTTTAACTTGACCCCCTCCAATCATTTCCCAATCTCTACTTGTGCATCAGTAAACATCACATGACAAGTATTTTCTGCTTATTATTTGTAGGATACCATGTATATATGATAGTGGTTAGCAGTGTTATCCAGGACGTGCGTTTCGTCCCATCTGCGACTCACCAGCTGGATATACCAACATTCCAGAATTGATGTCCATCTCTACTTATATTGGTTGTTTGTTAATTAAAACAATCATCAAATGCACGAAAACTTCATTCAAGATCATCTGAAGAGATAATGGTTAATCAAAAATCCAAATAAAAATCATTAACCATTCTTAATCCTTGAAAATAATACTTCATTTCTACTTATTAGGAATCTAACGACCACAGAACAATGTTTCCCATTGAATTATAGTTACATTCTGTTAATGTATATCAAACAATGGAGTCTGAATGGTAGATAATAGTAGATAATAACTATCTATTCCATTCTAATCATATATATGATGTTAAAGAAGATCAAATTGTCAAATTTTGCTACGCAGTATATTGAAATCAATAAAATTTAGGAAATGAATAGATCACTTCAATAGATCAAATCAAATGTCTGATCAAATCTTATTAGTTAATATTCAATTTCTATACATATTACTATGAATAACAAATAATGAAGTGAGACTAATAAATGAAAATAGAAATGATAAG